GGCGACACGCTCAGTAGAGGGTTTCTGCATTGCTGCTTCGGGGTCGCTTGATCTTTTCAATGTTCTTCAGAATCATGTCATGCAGAGTCACCTGCAGGGAGAAAGAACACACAGAGAGCCAGAGTGAGAGTGAGAGAGAGAGAGAGATTGGTCTCCTCACTCAGACAGAACTTGGCTTGCAGAGGAAAGTGTGCTCTTGTTTCCTAAGAACAGCCAACACTCCAGAAAGGAGAAGTTGTCGCTGGGCCACAATCAAGCCAGTACAGCTGACGGCGAAAGGCAGCAAGCGACCCGGACGGTGATTGGCCTGGAGGGCGTGGTGACGGGACGACGCAGCGCGGTCGGAGCCTATGAGGATGGAGACCAGCCGCTGCAGCCGTCACACAGCCGTGCGCCGCACGGACCGTGCCTGAAGGAGTCGCTGCGAAAAGATCCAACCTTCACCGAGAAACCGCCGCCGGGAGACCGAAGATCCCTCCCCTGTACTGAACAACATAGAAGAGCTCGGCTGCTCAGGTGCCCGGAAGGCACTCACCCTCCCCTGTACTGTGGCCCTAGTCAGGTGAAATTAAGAATGCTCTGTAAACCGCTCCGAGCCTTCGGGAAAGAGCGGTATATAAATGTAATATGTAATGTAATGTAAAGTAATAGTCTTCATGCAGCTTTCATGCAGCTTTCATGCAGGGGTCTGAACTGGCAGAGACTGATCAAGAGAGAGATCTTGGGAGTTGTAGTAGATAACTCACTGAAAATGTCGAGACAGTGTGTGACTGCAATAAAGAAGGCCAATGCTATGCTGGGGATTATTAGGAAGGGTATTGAAAACAGATCAGCCAATATAATAATGCCCCTATATAAATCAATGGTGAGACCTCATTTGGAATACTGTGTGCAGTTCTGGGCACCACACCTTAAAAAAGATATTATAGCTTTGGAAAAAGTGCAGAAAAGGGCAACTCAAATGATAAAAGGGTTGGAACACTTTCCCTATGAGGAAAGGTTAAAGCGCTTAGGGCTCTTTAGCTTGGAGAAAAGACGACTGAGGGGTGACATGATCGAGGTTTATAAGATTATGCATGGGAAAGAGCAGGTAAAGAAAGAGGTACTTTTCTCCCTTTCTCACAATACAAGAACTCGTGGGCACTCCATGAAACTGCAGAGTGGTGGTGGCTACAAGCATGGACGGCTTCAAAAGGGAATTAGATAAGCATATGGAGCAGAGGTCCATCAGTGGCTATTAGCCACAAGGTATAGATAGGGGCTCTGGGGCAAGTGATGCTCTGTCTTCTTGGTGCTTGGGGGGGGTCAACAGTGGGAGGGCTTCTAATGTCCTGGCCCCACTGGTGGACCTCCTGATGGCACCTGGCATTTCTGGCCACTGTGGGATACAGAGTGTTGGACTGGATGGGCCTTTGGCCTGATCCAACATTGGCATCTCTTATGTTCTTTCCTGAGTAACCCTCCAGAAGACTCTAGGTCATTTACAAGGCCAAGCTGTTCAACTGTGAACCCTGACAATTAAACAAACAGCAGAGTAGCCTACACGTGAAGCGGACACAGAGCTCTGGAGGGGGTCACGGCTGCCAGGCACACGGCTCATTTGCCCGTTCCTCAGCTCCACGGGACCAGAGCCACCATCGACCTCTGCACGGTCAGGAACTGAATCCTTTCCATATTACTATTTATATTTGCAATCTTTTTTGGTGTCATATACCATCTATACATCATCTTATAGCAGTTTTCTTTTAAATGATTACACGTTGATATTTTCATAGCATTTTCCCATAAAAATTCCCTGGTTGCCATATCTATTTCTTTGTTCATATTGACTGCCCATTTTGTCATCTGTTCTTTAACTGTCTCATCCTCTGTATACCATAGTCACAGTATCATATGTGGTGGACTTGTGATAAAGCAAAAAGTTATTGGGCTGAGGTACATTGTGAAATGTAATTTTAAGAAAGAACCTGAAATACTACTGTTGGGACTTAAAATGGAAAAAGTCAATGTGGGGAAAAGGACATTGATGTGGTATATGATAACAACGGCTAGAATGACTTATGCTCAATGCTGGAAACAAGACAGAATTCCGGAAATCGGGGAATGGATAAAGAAATTACTGTCTATGGTTGAAATGGACAAAATGACAAGGAAACTTAAGAATCTTGAAGCAGAAGAATTTTACGCAGATTGGAAAGATTTTAAGGATTACCTGGAGAAATATTGGGATGTAAAGGACAATTTAATTTGCTTTGACAGTTATTGAAAAGTTAATGTTATTAGAAGAAAGTTAAACAATAGGTGAAGGAAATGTTACCGGTAGACTATGATTAAAAGATAAGGGAAAATAGAGGAAAATTTAAGAAATGGGCTGGAGGTTGGAGCATTGTGGGAAGCCAAGGGGGGGTGTATAATAGAAGAAAGGATGTATAACAACTAATAATATAATGTGTATTTGACTTAACAATATATCCTAATAAATTGTTTTTGAGGGGGGAAAAAAGAAACTGAATTCTTTCCATTGGCTGACAGCTTCAGCAAGTTTCACATCAGCCACACAATGTGCCGCTCACCTCCCTGCGACGAGGAGGATTTAGCCTTGAGGAGGTGACCCCACCTTGACTCCCTCACAGCACCTGTCCCTGGTGAGCAGGCACACGGCCCCAGCTGCCTCTGCTGCTCCTCCCTCCTCCCCAGACCAAAGGGGAGCCACAGGACGCTCTTGGCTGCAGCAGCTGGCTTGTTTCAAGTTAGGAAAGGCAGTCGGGATAACCCTTTCCAGCCTAAGTGAAGAGCAGTGCAGCATCCAATGTCTTTCCTGACCCTGACACAGACAGGTCCCAGCACAGGAGGAAGAGGGCGATTGGATTTATACCCCGCCCTTCACTCGGAGTCTCAGAGTGGCATACAAACTCCTTCCCCTTCCCCTCCCCACAACAGACACCCTGTGAAGTCAGTAGGGCTGAGAGAGCTCTGACAGAAACTGCTCTTTTTCAAGGACAGCTCTTATCAGAACTACGGCTTGCCCAAGGTCATCCAGCAGGTGCAAGTGGAGGAGTGGGGAATCGAACCCGGTTCTCCCAGATTAAGAGTCTGCGCACTTCAACCACCACGCCAAGCTGGCACCGAGACCACTCCGGGCTTCCTTTCCCAGAGGGAGACAGAGACAAAGAGGAGGGCAGCCCCCAAACAAACTAGAGAGGGGCTATGAAAAAACTAACGTACGTATTGATTTCTCAGTTCCGATATGATGAGCCGCAGGCTGATGTATTCCTTTTCGTCCATCTCAGTCACCGTGCGGCGATAGTCTTCCTACAAAGACACAATTCAGCAGAAATGCTTTGCCGCCACCAAGCACCATGACTGAGCACAGCATTTGGCTCATCCTCCAGCCAAGAGTCACCTGCAGACACTCCCCCTTTCCAGCATTTCCTGCCTGCCGCCCAAGATCCTAACAATTCAGAACCAAGCAGAAACAGAGCATCCACGACAAAGGCTCTCAAATGCATTTCTAAACATTGCCTAGGTAACTATCCTTACACTTCATACTGCTAAATATATTCCCAGGGCCTCTTACTTGCAATAAAATTCAGAAGTACTATGAAGACCAGGGAATCTGAGCTCCATACTTACCACATGGGGGTATTTTGCAATCTTAGAGACCAGCTTTGCCCGCGTGATGTAGTATCTGAAAAGGAAGCAGAGGCCGGTTCAAGGGGGTCCAAAACAGCAGACATTCTGGAGCATTCAGGGAAAGCCGGTCTCGGGAGGAGCCAAGCCAAAAAAACCCACAAAAAACAAAAGACACCTACAGCGCAGAATCAAAGGAGAGGAGATTCGCTGGGAGATCGACAAAGAACCGGCAGGGTGCCTGTTAAGTATTCACCTCCCCCCAATACTATGTGGCCCTAGTTAGAATTGGTAATTTGCAATGTAAACCGCTCAGAGACCCTTCGGGATTAGAGCGGTATAAGAAATTGAAAGTATACATAAAAATTTAAAAAATATAAATATAAAGAGCACATCTCAACTCAGAACAGGACTCACCTAGAGATCTGGTCCAGGTATGAGGCTGCCTCACTTTCCACAGTACGAAGTTCAGCGACAGTCTCTTCCTACAAGGGTGGGAACAGTCAAGGCAAGCATTGAGAGAAGAACCTCCAAGCTCACCCGTGCCTGGGTGGATCCACCAACCCGCCAATCAGGCAGGCCATTTAATTCAGCCACGTGTTGAGTCGCCACTTTGGCACAAAACCATCTTGAGCCAAGATTGTGAGATCTGGGTATGCAACACAGCCTCACTGGGACACTCTCCAAGAACTGAGAGGCCACATCTAGGAAAAGGAACAATGCCAGGGATGCTGCTTCTTACGCGGCAGGGCAAGGCCCACAGCAGCTGTGGGGAGCTACTGCTCGCCCCGCACCCAGAACTGTGCAATACCCCTACAAGACCCGTGCAAAGGGGCCTCAAGTTCCTCAGTCCCAAGGGGCCGATTTACCTGAATTGAAACACCGAAATTATTGCCGTCCTCTATCCTGGGAATCAGCAGCTGTACCCACATTTTGACCTGCAGGACAAATGAGGTTACAAGAGAAAACGTTCACTGCTTTACAGAAGAAGAAGAAGAAGAGATCCCACGGGAGTCTCAGAGCGGCTTACAAACTCCTTTCCCTTACCCCTCCCCACAACACCCTGTGAAATGGGTGGGGCTGAGAGAACTCTTGACAGAAACTGCTCTTTTTCAAGGACAGCTCTTATCAGACCTACGGCTTGCCCAAGGTCATCCAGTCAGGTGCAAGTGGAGGAGTGGGGAATCAAACCCGGTTCTCCCAGATTAGAGTCCGCGCACTTAACCACTACACCAAACTGGCAAACAGGACAATCAACCAGGTCAGGCTGCTGTGCAAGCAAACTTGTGGAGATGACCACCGAGCCAGAGGTCAGGCAAGGCTGAGAGGGACTTGCTCCCAAACACTCAGGGAACTCCAGAAGGAACAGAGATTTGAATAGAGGCTTCCAGCTTCCAAACCTAATGCCAGCCTAGTTCCTCACTGATATCATAAACCCACTCAAGAGAACCTGGAGATGTGCCACCTGAAACTAAGCCAACACACAAATGATATGCTTCTCCATTCAAAACATTCCCTCCACATTAAAGGGGTGGGGGGAAGAGATGTCAGCCAAAAGGGTTCAAGACTAGCCCCCTTTCCAACATACTAGTTTCCTGTGTGGAGGAATTTTCTTCAGCATGGAGCAGCACCCGTTCGTTCAAGTCTCACCTTGCAGTCGGAGGTGGAACAGGCCAGGTACTGGTTTCTCATCTCCGTGACAACCAGCAGAAGAGCTGGATTTTTACCCCACTTTTATCTCAAAGCTGCTCACAACTGCCTCCCCTTCTTCTCCCCACAACAGACACCCTGTGAGGTAGGCGGGGCTGAGAGAGTTCTGAGAACTGTGACCGGCCCAAGGTCACTGAGCAGGCTTCACGTCGAGGAGGAAGAGGAGTGGGGAATCAAACCCGGTCCTCCAGATTAGAGTCCGCCGCTCTTAACCATGAGACCACGCTGGCTCTCCAGGCCCCTTTGCCTGCTGAAACACAGTGATCTGCCAAAGACGGCTGTAGTAAGATAGGGGTTCTTACAAGGATAGGCCCAGATATGCAGTAGGGCAAAAGTGGTTTTCTTCTCACAAGCGGATACCTATGATCAGGCACGGTTCCACCTGGGGAAGCACCGTAGCACCGTGGTCAGTGTGGGACTGGGACATGGGAACCCCACGTTCTGACCCCCCCTTGGCCATGATGCCTTTGGCCGCCCCTCTCCCAGCCTAGCCTACTTTGTGTCAGGTCCCACAGCAATTCAACGGAGTACACACTTTATAGAAAGGGATTACGTTATTGAAGCCATGAGTCACTGAACAGAATCACTGTTCAGAATACTGCTAGCTCATAGAGCTGGGAAGGTTAAAGCAATTTCATAATCGATACAGCCAATAGACAGGGTTCCCGCTTGCACCCAAAAAGCAGTTTATGCGCCCAAACCCCTGGGAAAGCAACGGCAATTGTGTTATCACTACCAAACGCTTCCCACAGTTTCTACTCATTAAAACCAAAGCAAAGCAGAGCAGACTTCTCCTCTTGACCACCTTGGAAAATGATAACGTTACAGCAGACATGCAGCTATGAATATATGCGCATGGTTATATGAGCGGACCTCTAGGGAGGGGGGGGTAAGAAATACAGAAACAGGTACATTGCCAAACCCAGGTACCCGAATGCATATAGGAATAAAAAGAACCTTTGGCAGCTTGCTGACACTTTGCAGGGCTATTAACATATTTTTAAAAATACTGGAAAGGGCAAACCACACATACTGCTCTCAGCTCTTTAAGGAAGGATGAGTTTAAAAACAAGCTAAGCAGGCTTAAATGCATGTACGATTGCGTCTCCTCAGTTCAGAGAACTACGCCAGACAAGCGAACTGCAGATCAACGTCCAAGGAGAAAACGGCTAACCCCCACTCACCGTGTTGCACTTTTCAATCAGCAGCCGGATCTCAGGTTTCACCTTCTCAATTATGTCCACAAGCTGCTGGTTGCTCTTCAGCATCCCATTAGGCATAACGAAGACTTTGGTACCTGGTGCCACAAGAAAGAGACGAGCCACTTATCCTGGGAAGGGGGCCGAGGAAAGAGCTCGCTCAGGTACGTGCCTGCAGAAAGCCCCTGGGAGATGATCAACAGCACCCTTCGGAGCGGAGTCACAGTCTTCTAAATCCACTGACTTCACAGGACTCAGAAGGGGGCAACTCTGCTTAGGATAGCAATGCTAAGACCCTCCTTTCTCTGCCCTGCTGAGGCCTCTGTCCCCTGGAGCTCATCTGGCCCACATTTCAAGGACAATCATGCATGGATTCTCTCACATCTCTGTATCTTTACAAGAAGAAATGCTGGCACTTATAACTGGTCACCACCAGTGTTCCCTCTAAGCTGAGTGTGAGCCCGCTCACCGTTTTTTAGCCTGTGGCTCATGCATTTTTGTCTTAGCTCAGGAAGGAGGGCTCCAGAGCAAACTAATTTATGCAGTCGCCAAATCGCTCGCTCACCACTTTAATGCCGGTAGCTCACAAAGTAGAATTTTTGCTCACAAGCCTCCACAGCTTAGAGGGTGCACTGGTCACCACCCTACAGCACTTCGTGGGTTTAAAAAACTGCCCCTGCCACCCACCCTCCTCCACCCACCCGCCTCGATGATAGAAACAGAAGCTCTACTGCGGAAAGTTTGGTCATACTGGGAATATTATTAGCTTCCACAATATAATGCCCCAAGAGTGAGTTTCAAAAGTCTGTGTGCGAGACTGTGTGTGTGTGGGGTGTCTGTTTAATTTCTAACCTATCGGCTTTCTGCTCACTCAGATTTGGAAGCCCAAAGGACCCACTTTTCTTTTTTAAAACAACGAACACCACAGTATTGAACAGAGTATTGGACAGAGTATTGAAAATACAAGCCAAAGCCGCAAACGATGCATCTTATTGGGAAAACCAGAGTCACTTCCCCCTTCTTCTATTCCAGTCACACGCAGGACTCGGAAGCAAATCTTACTGCCGTCTGTTTACCATTTAAAATCAGACAGGACTCCAGCCCCATCATTTGGCAGGAGTGGCATGAGCTGAAGCTTCAAATGCTTATAGTCCTTGGCACCGGTGTCGAAAATTTCAGACCCCGGCCTTTCCAAAACCTGGTCCCCTTTTAGGGCTCCTCTTTCCAGCGGGTCAGATTTCACAAGAAAGAGTTCAGGCCATCAATTCACAGAGGCACCCTGGACAAGGCAGCTGAGCCTCGGAGGCTTACCCTGGAAAGTCTCTTCACAGTCCTCCAGCTTTATCTTCTTCATATTGGGCTGAAAGAAGCACAAGTGGGACACCCATCATCAGGAGTCGGAGGTGAGGAAGGATCCCGGAGCAGCCATTGTCTGCTCCCCATCTCAAGGCCATCCGGAACCCACCAAGAACCTGTTCTGATCTGATACTGCACCTGGCAAGCCATCTTACCCCATCCAGTCCATCATGGCTGTTTGTGAGCAGAATTGGGTCAGGGACAGGAAGGTTCATCTCTGAGTGGATTTGAGTGAGATCGTGAATGTTCAAAATAGGATCCTGGGAAAGAAAGGGGAGTGGCAGAGCAAGAAGGGTCTGAGAGGCGGCTCGACATCCACAGAAGTTCCCAAAACAAAACAAAAACTCAAACAGAACGACACATGAAATGCGGCAAATGGCAGAAACCGTTCTAAAGATTAAGTACTGTCCAGTGAGGGGCAACCAGTACTTACCTTGAGGAAAGCGTCGAGTTCTAAAAGCTTCTTTGGGAAAAAATTTGCTACAAGATCTTCAGCCTGGAGAAAGAAGAGACAGATACGGTGCATATAGTGCCGTGAAGAACCTTTGATCGCGTGCCCCGTAAATGAGGAAACGGACCAGCACAGGACGGGAGAAACCTCTTCAAGAGCTGGGGTGCTAACAGGGGCCCGGGACAGCAGGAGAACAGAGCTGCTCTCTGGGACTGGCTGCTGCTCTGAGATTCAGAGATTACCCTTCAGCAGAAAGGTTCACATGCTTGGTAATCGTCAGCATTAGCTGAAGGTAGCAGGAACTTGTGAGACACTTACTTCCCCTGTGATCCGCTCCCTGAAAGAGTCGACCTGCAGGAGAGAAAAAATAGCAGCAGCTCAGGACAACAGAGCCAAGCTCAACAGATGCAGACGCTGAGATGCATGCAGAGGACGATGGGTAGTTGTGCAGTTCTCTGACACCGCAGAACTAAGCACACACGAATTGTATTGCTTCAAATCACAAACCATGCAAAGCAAAACAGAAATTCTGATTGCATACAGTTACTGACTTTGCTTAGCATATTTATTATTATCCCACCCTTCTTTCAAGGAACTTAGGGTGGCACACGTAGTTCTCCCCCCACCATCTTAGCATCAAAATAACCCCGTGAAGTATGATTCAGGTGGGTAGCCGTGTTGGTCTGAAGCAGCAGAGCGACGTTTGAATCCAGCGTCACCTCTAAGACCAACAGAGTTTTAGTTAAGGGATGCGTTTTTGTACGCACACGCACACACTTCTTCAGATACAATGAAATGGAAATTACCAGTCCATACATATAGGTAGCGGGTAAGCAGTAAATTAGCATATAGTATAATGAAGATATTTAACAGATTTAAGGACCAAACAGGAATAACAAGCATAGTTTATATGGTTATCATTTGTTTGGGTAGTGGTCAACTCAAAACAGTTCAATGCATCATCAACAACTTACAACTTCCATTGGATAATGACAGTTCTCTTTCACAACTACGGGAGGGGTGCAAACCTTTTCTTGCCCCCAAACAGCCCCCCAATCTCAAACTCCTCCTTACCCACAATAATGCAACACCTAATTTGAATATGGACGCCGGTACCTGAGCTTGCAATAAACCCAGATGTCAACTTTGCTGCCACAGACACCCAGACAACACAATCACTGGACCTAACAACATAAACTACCCCATCTCAGGCTTATCCACATGCTCATCTTCTAACACTGTATATGCCATTAAATGCCAACAATGCCCTTCGGTTGTATATGTAGGGCAAACAAGTCAAATCCTATGCCAAAGCAGGGCTTTCTTTCTTTCTTTCTTTTTTTAAGAAAAAGAGGTGCTGGAACTCTCAACAGGGAAATGAAGTTTTCAATATGTATACTGAAAACTCATTAACTTTTTTTTTATTTTAAGTTTTTAGTTCTTTCTTTCAGAAAAAGAGGTGCCGGAACTCTCAAGAGGGAAATGAAGTTTTATGAACTTTTTTTTATAAAGTTTTTATAGGTATGAAGCAACATATAACAAACAAGATATACAACATTCTGCTTCCATAATCATTTCTTGTACATAAACACGGTTCGTATTTCAGTACTTAAATAATCTGTAGGCATTCGAAATAAACATATTTTGATTTACCATCAGTTAGCTATTTGATAGTTTTTTTGAAATTACATATGTTAAGCATTTATATATAACAATACACTATTGTACTCCAATGTCTTTTTTCCCCTCTTCTCTATCTTATCTTTTTTCTACTCAATTTTGCTAGATTTCACAACATATGCTTTGTTAGGGATCTGGTGCTTGATTATCAACAAATTATAATAAAATAGTAATACAATAAAGATCGATTGAAGTACAATTGAAAATAATTTTTGTTATCCAGTGGTATCCATAGTAATATTTGGTTTTATATCCATTTGATATAGTCCTTCCATATAGGAAAGATGAATTTTTCTTGAGAGAGAGCATCCATAATGGGGTACCATTTTGCATTGAAATTGGAATTCGTAGGATTTCTATTATTTCTGTTTTGCTTGTCCGTAATACTTTCCATTATGAATTGGTCCCATAATTTTTTAAACCACACTTGAATGTTTGGGGGATGAATGTCTTTCCAATATGAAGCTATAGAAACTCTGGCTGCGCAAAGCATTGTGTCCAGTGTTTCCTTATGATGATGTTTTGCAATCTCTAATGGCCATAGTCTTAAAAATAGGTGTTCCAGTTTCAATGGAACCTCTATGTCTAGTATTTGTTTGATATATTGTAGGACTTCAAGCCAGAATTTCTGGACTTTCTCACATTTCCAAAAGCAATGAGCGGATGATCCTTCATGTTTACAACCTGTCCAGCATCGGGGAGATTGTTCAAATCTAGTCAAACCTATTGTTCACCTCCACTGTATATTCATCAGTGATATGCTCTGGGTCAAACCTGAATGGCCTAGTGGTTTAAGAACATAAGAACATAAGAGACGCCAATGTTGGATCAGGCCAAAGGCCCATCCAGTCCAACACTCTGTGTCACACAGTGGCCAGAAATACCAGTGCCATCAGGAGGTCCAGCAGTGGGGCCAGGACATTAGAAGCCCTCCCACTGTTGACCCCCCCCCAAGCACCAAGAAGACAGAGCATCACTTGCCCCAGAGCCCCTAGCTATACCTTGTGGCTAATAGCCACTGATGGACCTCTGCTCCATATGCTTATCTAATTCCCTTTTGAAGCCGTCCATGCTTGTAGCACCCACCACTTCCTGTGGCAGTGAATTCCATGTGTTAATCACTCTTTGGGTGAATAAGTACTTCCTTTTATCCGTTCTAACCCGACCGCTCAGCAATTTCATGGAGTGCCCACGGGTTCTTGTATTGTGAGAAAGGGAGAAAAGTACCTCTTTCTTTACCTGCTCTTTCCCATGCATAATCTTATAAACCTACATCATGTCACCCCTCAGTCGTCTTTTCTCCAAGCTAAAGAGCCCTAAGCGCCTTAACCTTTCCTCATAGGGAAAGTGTTCCAACCCTTTTATCATTCGAGTTGCCCTTTTCTGCACTTTTTCCAAAGCTATAATATCCTTTTTAAGGTGTGGTGACCAGAACTGCACACAGTATTCCAAATGAGGTCTCACCATTGATTTGTATGCCACTGACATGTGTGATAATTTCTGAGGAGTCAAGTACCATCGAGTTAGGATTTTGAATTTGTGCAGGTCCATCGGTAAGGAACTTGAGGTATTGCTTTTCGCAGACCAAACTGTAAGCCAGGCATCCTCATCAATTTCTATGTCACAATCCTGTTGCCAGGCTGATCGGTAAGGTATAGTTTTAGAATTGTCTGAACACTCATGAACTTTTAAACATTTTAAAAATAATTTTGTTGAAGAGGTTCTGGAACTCCATTCCAGCGCATTCTCCCAGGGAAAAAAGCCCTGTGCCAAAGGATAAATGGACACAAATCTGCCATCAAGAATCACAAGACTGAAAAACACTTAGGAGAACACTTCAACCTTTCCAGAACATCCAATGAGTGACCTCAAAGTAGATGTTTTATTGCAAAGGAATTTCAGGCACAGACTAGAAAAAGCAATTGCTCAGTCACAAGTTATTACAAAACTCAGAGCAATGGAATTCCCAGAATTTAATAGGGATATTGGTTTCTTATCTCACTACATACGCTAAACTCATTCAGTGCTTACATCTGTATTCTTACCAATCCCCCAGAAGAGCCATATGACCTCTTTATTTTATTTCTTATTTGGAATAATAGATTAGAATAGTAGATTGTAATGTAATGTAATGAACAGTAGAATGCAATGTAATTTGGAATGGTAGACTGGAATACATTTCTCTGGCCTGGAGACAGGTGAGACAACTCTACACAGGCAATCGCCCCACTTCAAAGAAAAAGAGGCTGTAAGATCGCCTCTATGCTTGAGAGGAGATGGATGGAGTGTAATGCAGGGTCTCAGTGAATTACTCTTGGCATTCCACACTTAAGGATCATCTGCCCATCAATCTCCAATTTTGACATATTTATTTCCTTTAATATGTCCCCCCCCCCGGAATTAAACTCAAACAAATGGCAACCATATAAACTAAGCTTGTTATTCCTATTCATTATGCTGTATGCAAATTTACTGCTCACTGTCTGTCATTTCAATGTATCTGAAGAAGTGTGCTTGCACACAAAAGCCTATACCTTGAATAAAACTCTGTTTGCCTTAAAGGTGCCACTAGACTCAAACACTGTTCATGTTTAGCATGCAAGTCTGTGACAGTGTTAACTGATCCAAGGTCACCCAGTGATTCTTCAGTGGCATTTAGGCAAGCATTACTATAGTGTGGTTATAGCAGTTAGAAGTAGGCTCGGGTGACCCAGGTTCAAGAGCTTGCTTGAACCTGGGTCACCCGAGCCTACTTCAAAATTCTAACTGCTATAACCACACTATAGTAATGCTTGCCTATACACCACTGAAGAATCACGGGGCTGGAAAAATCTGTACTATCTTGCCATCTACAAGCTTAATGCTGCCCCACAGAGAATCTCTAATCACTTTTTCTGCCCTGGGTGTTTTGCTTTCATTTTCAGTATTTTAACCCACTTACCTTGTCTGATCTTTTAACAGAACTGAGTGAGGACTCTATTAGAATCCAAGGGCCCACCTTAGATTACAAGCAGCTGCCTATAAAAACTGCACCTATATTAGCCAGAATCCAGTAACATGCAAGGACACTTCATTATAAAATGCTCCAACATAATTGTCAGAGCCCCTTAATCATACAGGAAAGAGGAAGCATTACTATGCACTCAAGAGCCGAAGGATGCCTTTAGGGGGGGTGAACCAAGTCCCCATTTCCTGCAAAGTGGCCTCCCATTGTGACAGGCTTTGTATATGCTTTATGATGACAACAGAAACATCTAAATAGTAATTTTTTTTCAGAACTAGTATCATGTGTACAACAAATGGTGATTGTGCACACATGTGTATTTCAGGCACAAAACCTACTGGACATCTGACCTGTCTAACTCACACGATGAGTTATTAAGAACTTAAATTTGCAGAAGGCTTCACCATGAGAAAAAAGCACTGGCACATCGTTAACGAGTCAGAAATGCAGAGTATGGAATCTTGGACAGGAACCGGGAGATAATTTATAAGCAGGGTATTTAATGTTACAAGACCTGACAAGCATACACAAGTATTGCAAGTATCAAGTAATGCAGACTTTATCTGGATGTTTATATTCCCATTTTTCTCCCCAATAGGACTCAAAGTGGCTTGCAACAAAATCTGGTTGAAATGGGACGTATAAGGGGGGAAGGGGGGGGATCTAAGGTCCTGCATCAAAACATTCCTCTGATCATCCCAAAGAAGCAGTGACGTTAAACTGGGTTGGCCACCAATCAGTGTTCCCTCTAAGCTGAGTGAGTGTGAGCGAGCTCACAGTTTTCTAGCCTCCAGCTCACAATTTTTATCTCCGCTCAGGAAGGAGGGCTCCAGAGCAAACTAATTTCTGCAGCAGCCAAACCGCCCACTCACAACTTCAATGCCAGGAGCTCAACACACTAGAATTTGTTGCTCACAGGACTCCACAGCTTAGAGGGAACGTTGCCACCCATTAAAACAGGAGTCCAGCGGCGCCCCAGCTATCCTCCGATGGTTTCTGGCCCTCTGCTAACGTCACCTTCCACGGGCGACACAACAGCCTTGGGCTGATAAAACACGATGGCCGCGCAGACGGACGAGTCTCGCACAGGAGGCGGAAAACCGCTGAGCTAAAGCCGGGGGGTTGGGTTGGGGGCAATGTTCCCGCTAAGCTGTGGAGTCTTGTGAGCAAAAATTCTACTTTGTGAGCTCCTGGTTGTGAGCGAGCCATTTGGCTACTGCATTGATCAGTTTGCTCTGGAGCCCTCCTTCCTGAGCAAAGACAAAAATCTGTGAGCTGGAGGCTAAAAAACTGTGAGCTAGCTCACGCTAA